TGCTTTTTGCCAAACACGGCCCTGGCCGGGGCCGGCAGTGCCGAGGGCCACCTGCTGCGGGTGGAGCACCTGAAGCCGGGGGACAAGGTCCGGCTGAGCGACGGCACGGAGGCCTCGGTGCTGGACGTAAAGCGGCACCCCTCCAAGAAGAAGCCCTACGACGTCGTGGAGCTCAGCACGCACCAGGGCAAGTTCCCGGTGTCCGACTCCCATCACGTGGCAGTGCCTGGAGTCACAGGACTGCCATGGGAGTGATGTTGAGCTTTCTTGCTTCTGTTTGGTTGCTGATTCCGGAAACATTTGGTTTGGTGCGGCGTGGTATCCCAGCCACCCTGGCCAGGCCCCCGTCGTCAGCAAGCAGATGCCTTGCGGCAAGGGGATTTGGTGATCGTCAGCGGCGAACAGCGGAAGCTGACCAATGTGGTCCCCAGGAAGGAGCGGACTTTTGGGGGACACTCCAGGTGTTTTGTGTGGGTGCGGGGGGGAGGGGGCATTTCCGGGCATTTCCGTCAAGATTTGCTTGAGAATGAAGCTGAGAAAACGAGGGAGGGAAAGGCGAGAGGGGGGTCACAGGAGCGCGCAAATCTCTTTGAAGTCTTTCTGGAGCCGGACGGCCCCCTGGAGATGTTCCACTTGAAGCAGAGCTGGAGTTTGCAGGTCTTCGGCTCTGCCAGTGGATCCGGGTGTCTTCCCGAAGAGGAGGGCGAGGAGCTGCTGCTGACGGGGAGCCCAAGTTAGAGGCGGTGTACAGAAACGGCAGTTGGCGAAGGGCAGGATATTTGTAGAAATGTTTGAGATTCAGGGCAAGGCAGAAGATCTGTGACCCTTTGCCAGGGCCTTTTTGCAGATGCATGGCCACAGGAGTGACGGTTCCCGTTGCAGCTCGAGTTCCCTAAGGGGCTTCGAGCTGTTCGGGTTTTCATGGTTTTCCATGGCCAGCCGGGTTTTTGAAAGCCGCCGAAGCGTGGCGCAGTCCTTCGTGACGCCAGAAAGATGCTCTCAAAGCGGTCGTGAATCCCCACCTAAATGACGTTTATACCAAAGGGTCCTTTTGGACAAAGAGAACAATGATATCGTTTCATACCCGTATCGCCCCTCACGGTCGGTTCGGTGCCCCAAGTTGCAGGTGAGCCTTAACAGCTGCTGCTCTTCAGCGGAGAAGTGCAGCAGCTGGCGCTTTGCCCTAACTGCTCCGGCTGGCAGACCTGTGCCTTCGCGAAATTCGGATTGGGGGGGGGGGATGATTGCGAAGAGATCTCTTCAAAGACATGATTTTCCTCATTTGGGGCTCTTTTGGAACCTCCAAACATGGGCTACCCTCAGAGAAACTCCTTCATTGGCGGGTGCACCCCGTAGACTTGCAAAAGCGCAGGGCTTGGCTTGGCTTGGCCGGGGGGGCTTCCAAAGTTGAAGTCTGTGCCATGGCCAAAGCGCCCTTGGGGATGCCGGAATGTAGGGTTCCTCTTGACGCCATGGCCATCGCCCACAGGAGGTTGAACCATGAGACGTGTAGACTCTGAAAAGGATTAGGGACAGTTGGGCATTCAGCAGAGCATTAATGCATGCTTGGCTGCGACTCTGCACCGCAAACGCTTGCCGCAAGTTGTCATCTGTTGCTTGTTGGGCATCCAGGTTGCGCATCCCATTTTCCATGAACGGTTGTGAGATGTTCGTTGGTGATCCAAACTATTGAAGCTGGGTTTGTCGACAGAATCACCTCCAGACACCCCCATATGGACAATCACTCAGAGGTCACCAAATCTGGGTATTTGCGTTAGAAGGTTTTGAAGCCTGTTTGTATGTTGCTCAAAGGACACCACCACGTAGCCGACCAAGCTGAGATGGGATTAGAAAATTGACCGAGATCTTGAGACCACAGGGAACTGTATATGGGTGTTCACTTACGCTCACTTTGGTGGTGGGGTGTGGGGTTTGCAGGCGGTGTCACGGGTTGGTGCTTTGTTCGCAATCCCTTGCATGGCAGTGTCATTGCTGTCCACTTAGGGCTATGGATTGATGTTTATCAATCAAGCTCGGTCAAGAATCGGGGATGTGTCAGCCCTTGATTTTGATATCTATACGTAAAAGGAGATCAGCGGACTCATTCTTCCTTTTGAGTCAAAACCCAACAGAGCCCATGTTGCTTGGTGTCAAAAAACCAACATGAAATCGTCACTATTTTCAAGTACGCTTAGTTTAACACAGCAGTAATTACTGCAATATGGGCCAATGCTTGAACCGGAGCGAGCCACTTCCAGGAAACAATCATACCGCTGTTGTCCAGAGGCACCTTTTCTGTGTTTCCCCGGTTGGTTCCTGAAAACTAACACGGGCTTCGTACGAGGACGCTTCAATTGGGGCGGTTTCTACGTGTCTATGTGTTTGTTATTTCGCTAAGTGTTTTCCTGACATACTTGGGCCTTACGGGTGGAGAAAGCACGTGTCTTTAAAGGAAACGTCAACTCGGCACTTGGATGAAGCCTTTCGGATTTGCTTCCCCGACCACTGGACGGTGGGCTGTGCCGCCTTTCTTGGCACCCTGCTTTTGCGATTTGGATAGGAATGGCCTCAACCCTTCCAAGTGGCTGGTGTCCCGTTTAAGTTTCCCTTGAAAACCAGTGAAACAAAACACACGCTCCCATTTGGACGTGCATGTTCTTTGTGTTTGTCATGTTGGTGGTAGGACACCCAAGTTTTGTGATGTTCCTTTTGTTGCCCTCAAAGTCGCAAAACAAACAACACCCTCTTTTTTTTGGGAGACACCCACAATTTGTGGTTTGCTTGTTGATCTCCCTTTTAAAGCCGCAAAGAAGAGGTATACCTTTCGGTTGCCAGGATCGGGTTCAACCTGCTCCTGCAGAGCTGCATGCATTCCTCGGCCTGGCGCGGCGCACTGCACTTCTTGCACCACATGCGGTCGTCGGAAACCGCGCCCTCGGCGATGAGCATCGTCCCTGCGATCGAGGCTTGCGTGCCTTGGCGGACACGGGGAAGGGATGCAACCTGCGAGTCGGCTCGTCTGTTTTTTGGGGGACCCCCGAAGATGACTTCGGTTTTGCTCTTGGTGTCCCTTTGAAGCCACCAAAAAACGGGGTACCCTCAACAACGAGACACCCATATCTCTAAGTGCGGGGGGGGGGGGGTTGTCAAGATCGGCCAGAATCTTTAAAAAGGAAGGCGCCATATATCTCTTGACATCCCTCCCTAGGTAGGTGTCTCTGGGTTGTTCAAAAGAGGGAAGAGATTCTGTCCAGTTAGGGATGGAGTCTACAATTCACTAGGAAAGGTTTTGGGAAGAAGCCTGAGCATTGTGCTTTGGCTGTTAAATTTGCTGTTCCCATTGCGGTGATGGTGGTAATCACTGTTCACAGTTACTTTCAAAGTTGTCCCCTGTTTCCGGTGGGTTCTTGTCTAGCAAGAGATGAATGATTCTGCCAGTTCGCCTAGACCAAAGGGGCCCAAAGGAAGCGCGCCGCGTCGCCGACTCGAGGCCCGGGAAGGCGAAGCGATGGTGACGGCAGACGCTCGAAGCAAGGAGTCGTTGGATCGAGTCGGTCGCGAAATGGGCGGTTTTTCCTGTCGGTTTCTCTTGAACACCTCGGGCAGCCCCCGAAATGGGGGTGAGTCCAGGGCATCTTTTTGTTTGATTGGTCTAAAGGAAAACCAAAAGGACACCACTCGTTTTAAGGGTCCTACACCTATGTTGCTGCATATTCCCGTCTTGGATACCAATTCAGAAGACCCGTTCAACGGGGTTCTATTACGCGGGTTTCAGCTTGCACCACCCTAGGGTACGATCATTTGTTAGAACGAATGGAACGCTTTCTGCCGAAAAGTTTGTGTTTTCCCTTTGGGTTCCCTCACACTTTCAATCACTCTGATCACTTCTCTGGGTGTGGGCATCTTGGGTGCGATTTCAGCAAGCTCAACCAAACATGCAAAGTCGCCCAGGTTTGAGAGTGTTTAGCTCCAGGAGCACACCGTGTTTTCCAACCGCCCCTGATTCAATTCTGGGACTAGTCCCACAACTGATCAAGCGACTCCTTGCCCTCTCAGCTGAGGAACTCTTGGAGCAGCTTCAACTAGTTGCTGCGCGGGGCTCGAAAAAGTCGTGATTGGTTGTTGCCAATCCAATAGTTTCACGTTGATCTGACATTTTGTTGTGCTTGACTAAGCGTGTGTTCTCCATGCTGGATGAGCCCTCCCTTTGCATCCTTGTGCTGGTGAATGATGTGTGATCATCTCAAGCTATGATCCTTGCCACAGACTATGAGGAGGATACTCGTCTAGGCGTACCGCTCAAGACAGTGCTTGGCCAATAGCGTCACGCCTCGAGTGTCTGGGCTTGAGTCACTCGGGGAAGACATGTATTGATATTTGGTATGTGTCCGCATGACTTGAGGATGTTCAGCTCGCCATTCTTCATGTCACTTTCTTGGGGGGGATGCTATTTCTGCACCGGTTGCGGCTGCCATGTAGCAAGCAACCAAGGGAAAGCAGGACGTAAAGCCTGGAGGCAAACGAGTTTGGTGCCTACTATAGTGGTATAGCTGAAAGCCTTTGGGTCAGGTCGAGACCAGGCAAAGCAAGTTGCCATGCTCATTCCTGAGTGTGCGTGTTGTTTCTGTGGGAACCACTGTTCGGTGGCTCAAGCTCCGCAGGAGGCACAAGAAAGCTCCGGTAGCACGCTGGGCAGTTCCAAATGGGATATGAAACAGGTCAAATTTGAAATCAGCGTTTTTACACATTTGGGCCCCGAACTTGCTGCATTCTATTTGTGTGAGACCACATAGTACAGCTCAAACGTAGTATCATGAACCAGGATTTATTGAACGTATCATTTGTTCAGTTCGTTTTGCGATTTGCATGTCAAACAATAAGGAGACTCGCACAAAACGGCCCTGGAACGATGCCCCTGCAAAATACCAACGCTGGGCAAAAAAACAAAACTGTTAGAGGGCTCCTTAAGCATTGGGTGAATACATTTGAGCTAATTGAACCGTGGCTCATATGTCAAGATCCGCAAGTGATCCCAATCTCATGGATGACACGCCATGCGCTCAGCTTGTGAGCCCGGTGTAGCCCGGTTTGTATGACAAGCATGGCGTGGCAGACAGATGAGAGAGTCGAGCAGCGCCCAAAGCCGCTTTCTTTTTGTCCATTTTGGGCCATCACATGTCTCTCACCAAACGCTGTGAGAGACACTGTTTCACTAAGCAAGAACATGGATTGGGGTTGGGGTCACCCTTCGGGGGGGCTTCGATCTCGCTTGCGCATGTGTGGAGTGGTTGGTTCTACCTGGTTCATTGGGGTTATGTGACATATGGAACAAGTTGATGGCATATCGCACTGTGCATGCACATTCCAGCCATTGCGCAGCTTGTGTTGCAGGGTGATTTGTGCCGTCACAGTCCAGACGCTTGTACCGAGGCGCGCAAGAGTGCGCCGCACAGTCAGCAGCCCAGCGGGCATGGGTTGTTGCCACTGGTGGACAGCCCTTCGCACGCACCTATCTCTACAAGCTCCAGCACGGCACTTCAACCTTGCATCGTCTGTTTTTCAACGTGGGGTCGTGCAAATCAGAGGACCAGAGCAGGTACAGAGGGAGAGAGTGGGTTCTCGAGTCCGTGATGCTTCGTGTCGCTCCAGTGATCTAGTCGCCTCTGGCCGAAGGGCCGAAGGGTGGAATGTTGCACAACAGCCATGAAAGAAGTCGGCCTGAACAATCTTAGGGCAAGTAGCGACCTCGCAGCCTGGTAAACGGGTCCTTTCCAGATCCTTTGCTGCAGACTGGCGATCTATGTGTTGATTATGCAGACTCCTACGTAAGAAAGCGAGCGGGCCAGCTTGGTCCAGGCCACGCCACCTCCACGGCCAGGCAGGACAGCCGCATGGTTCGTTTGCATGTGAGCTTGGGCTTTGAGAAGGCTTTGTATGGAGCACAGATCCCCAAGTCGCTGGCCTTATGTTCAGAATTTGGAGCGTTGTGAGCGCGACATTGCGCCATGCTTCAAACAGACGTGCTCACCGTGGATGGCAAGTGGTCCAGGAGTTCTCCTTCAGATGTCATCATGGCATCGGGTTATGGACGTGTCAGAGTCCACGCTACAAACTGGGCAGATCAAATTTGGGCGGCGCCCCTAGTTTCCTCTCTCTTTTTTTTGAGGGGAAGGGTGTGCTTCCACAAATCGACCAACAGGAGCGTCCACTTCCGAGGTGCCCTGCACCCGTTTTGAGGTGCCAAAAGGGAAGCGGCGCAGTTGCCGACTGCCGAGGCGCGCAGCGCAAGCTCGGCGCGATTCGGCGTGGGAGTCATGGGAGGGTTAGAAGTCCTTAGTGGCTCTATAGTAGCCACTAATCGTCCCCCCATCGGTTGCAATGACTTCCCCATAGCTCCCAGTCAGCATGTGACAAATTCAGCACATCGCAACTGAGCCCATGGCTCGCCAGGCTGAGATCCAACCGGCTGACAACAGCAGCGGGGACGAAGCGCTGGGCACCCCAGCACGGCGCTTCGTGGGGAAATGCCAACTGAGCCACGTCCTCAAAACCGATTCGGGTAGATGAAGGTTAGTAAGGGACAATCCCAGTCGCCTTTCTAGTTCTGTACATTGGTTTGGGTCGACTACAGGTTTTGATTGTGACTCAACTGACGCAATCGCAGTGTTGGATCCCTGCTTAGCAATGGAACGGGGAAGGGGGCTTCCCTTCAATATGTTTTGGCCAAACCGAAGGGCACAGACGCTCGAGCCATGCCGACTTAGGCAAGAACAATACGCAGAACCCCATGGTGTGACGAGGGAAGGAGTTCTTTCCTTGAGGTGTTTGCTTCTCGATTTTTGTTCCGGTTTGTTTTGAAGGGGGACGGGCCCTGAGCAATTGGTAAGCTAGTACCGTTTCCCTCCTTCGTGCTTCAAGTCCATTCAGAGTCTGTTTGGCTGACCTCAGCGTCAACCCCCTGTTCAGTTGTTTCGGGGGGCCGGGGTTTGGTCAGGTCCGTTTCAAGGGCGATCTGTTTCAATGGTGCGTCCTCCGCGGGGGAGCAAACCAAAGGTAGCCAACCATGTTGGGGTCAGAAGGGTACGTCCTGGTTTCTGCAGCCAGCCCCCATTAGGCAGCTGGTACCATGGGGCCAGGGAACCTTCCCCGCCTGAGGGCTCGGCAAGCCGAAGCCAAACCTGAGAAGGCGTGGCAAGAGACGGCTTGCCGGTGTTTGTGCGTGTCAGTTCTCCGAGTATTCTCCGTCTCGTAGTCTTAGTTGAACATTACTGGCTTTCTTCCGTTTATATGAGACATGGCATGTCACTCGTTGATTTGAGGCATTACTTGTTTTTCGGTAATTTAAGACATCGCCAGTCTTCTTTTTGGGTGATGGGTAAAGGAGAAGTATAGAGACCCATGTTGAGAAGTGCTGGAAGCCAGCAAGGGGATCACCCAAATGATATTGACCCAGGATTAATAAACCCGTCCCATTATTAGGGGGGGTTCCCTCCAACAGTGATGAATCCCCACTAAAAGGGGACACCCCCTATTAATCAACCAGGGGCTTATTAATCCGGGGTTAACAGTACGATGGAGCCCAAATCAACGAAGGGCCCCGGCAAGGCAGCCTCAAATCTCATTGATTCTGGGTGAATTAAAACGACCTCACACGACCTCACCCGACCGAGTTCACCCCAAATGGCGGTTTATGTGGGAATAGCCCCCCAACCTTATTTCAGGTTGGTGAAATATTATAGTTCACCCATATGAAAGCGATTTAGGTGTGGCCCTGCTTCTTTGGTTCGGCTGTACTCTCAACATACATGTGGCCAAGAGGTGAACCACATATTGCACGCATCATGCGTTGCCATTGATTTCCAGGAAGTGGTTCTCCTGGCAGCAATGCACATTATGTCCTTTCATATTGTATATAACGCCGGTGTTAAGTTGCACTGACTCGCATGAAAGGGTATACGGGCATTCGAGGGCTCCCTGTAGTTCCTTTTTACAGTGGTGGTTTAAGCATCACCTTGGGGCCACGTTGAAGAACTTCCTGTTGCTGGCGGGTTTATGAGGTTAAGCGAAAATATCTGGAACATGGTTTACATTTTGCAGAGGGCCGCAAATATCCGGGGACCTGTTTCATGCTTTATGCTAATGCCAAAGCGCACGGTAAGGGCGCTGGTTTTTTGGCCCAATCTCATCCCGATCTAGCGAGGGCCTGACAAATGTCCTTGTAGTCCTGAGCATACGGGTGCTTCAACCTCTTTGTGGCAGCGGACCGACCATCCCAGGGATTAGCTTCTGGCATTTGACAAAGGCTTGGGATCAGTTGAAAGTAACATCGCGGATCGTTAAGTCAAGCCCATGTTCAATTATGGACTTCTGCTGGCGCAAGCGCTTGGATCATTCGAAAGTTTGTTCCATGGCAAACCGCATGGCTCAGTGGGACAGCAAACTCCATCACCCCATAGGCGTTGCCCGATCCGTACGTCGATCGCGCAGTCGCAGTTGCAGCAATGGCCCTTCCGGCAGCGAGGAATCATCGCGTTGGCAGGGTCGCCGAGACTCAAACTGTGCCAAGCGCTTGTGACCCATCAACTTGTGCGAGGGGGTTTTGTATGCTCAATTGTTTCATTCATTGGCGCAGCTATGCCAAGAGTGCAAGATGCTCTTTTGACATATTCAGGAATTAAGCTGTTTTCTTTTGGGTTTGGGTGCACGATGCAAAAGGGGAAGTGATGCCTTGTTGGAACAGGGCGTGGGAAGTCGAAGAAGGCTATGACATACGTTTGCTTTAGTTTGCTTCTTACCAAAACATCTCTCAAACACGCCCCTTACACGACCATTGCTTGGGTGGATGTGTTTTGTTCGCCTTTGCAATTCGGTGGCTGAGTGGCCGCCAGCGTTCCATGAGATGGCCACGTTGCTTTCGTGTGACTCGTCTTGTCCGTTTCGCCGCTTGGGTCACTCCACGTTTTCTGGTAGACTTAGGATACATTTTACATTTTACAAGTGCAGCAAAGTGAAGAAAACAATAACATATACATTCTATGACTGGGCCTATCCCTAACTCAGTTGTTCAAAGCCTTTTGGTTTTCCCATTTTGGTCCATACTTAGTCATGGCCCCAAAAGGTTAACCTCAACGAATCACGTTTTGCTCACTGGTCCAAGCTGAGGCCTTGTCCTGTTGCGCCCTGATGCTGGCGATGGGACCTGCGGCCTACTGCTGGCTCAACCAGGCGGGGCAGTTGGGGCGTGGGCGCAGGCAACCCCCAGGAAATGTCAAAGAAGAAATACAGGGCTCCTTAAAAGATACATTTTGCAACCATTTGAAACATGTTTTTTTCCACCAAACTACAGGGACACCTCCATTTACAATGCAATGCTCAGGTGTATAATGTAAGGATCCCTGAGTATGGATGGTTGCTATGGAAACCGCAGATGATTCTAGTAAAACTGCAGATGATCGCAGGGAAACCACAAAAGATGCAACATGGAAACCGCTGAACATTGCGTGGAAAGCATGGACGATACATGACAATCACAAGGGTATACTGATTGTAAAATTGGTCAATGTTCTACAGGGCAGCCCTGTTTACCCAAAGCAACTCGTCCAGTTGGCTTCTGAATTACCCCTTCGCCAGGTCCCTTGGAAAGAGAACTGGCTATTCAACTGCCTGCAAGATTCCATGTTGTATGACGACTGTGAAAGAGCATGAACTGTGTTTTGTGCGATTGCATGAAGGTTGAGAAGTTCATTAAGAAAAACTGAGAGTTGCCTGCCCCAGTGCTTTCAATTTCCCCTATAGCAGGCAACCAGGCAAAACCATGATGCAAAATCTCGAGGTAGCCACACCTGGTTACCCACTATGGTGGTAACTGGAAGCACTGTGTGTGTGTGTGTGTTTCATTTGTGTTTTGGATAGCCCTTTCTGACATCGACCCCCTTGCCTGGACCCAACTGTACGCCTATGCACCGTGTTTTGATCTCCTTCGGAAACCACAGGATATAGGATGGTTACCCACAATGGTGGTTAACCCCCCCCCCACCCCACGATGGTGGTTGACTGGAAGTGCTGGGTGTGTTTCGTAGTTGGTTTAGATAGCCCTTTCTGAAACCATAGGATGCTTCGGGCTTGAAGCGTCGGCTTTCCGCCGCGGAAGATGAGGAAAGCTCCCGGGTGATGACCAGGTGGGGACATAGGTAGAGAGGCCACCACTGCGCCGTAGACCTCAAACAGGGAAGCTCAAATAGGTGCAAATGGCAGGGGTCTTAAAGGGACATTAAACGGATACAACCAATTTTGGGGTTGTCATTTGTGACAATCCCTATAGTATTTTGCCTGTCTTGCCACCTTTCTATGTTCAGTTAGACCATTTTTCTTGGTCGTTTACGTTGACGGGCATTCTGGTTTGCAGGCAATGTGGTGCGATGTCCAGTGTGCTGGGCTGGCCTAAGCTGGCTGATCTATATTTGCTCACCCCTTTGGGTGCTTTTTGAGGGTACCCTCTTCGCTTTGGCTTAAAGGGCAACACCTATTTTGACACACACACACCCATTTGTGGGTCCACACCCCTTTGAAAGTATAAGCTGACGCCACAACCATGTCTCTGGCATCTTTGGAGCACCTTCAGAGTCCCTTCCTTGTTTGGGTCAGTACTTACTCCTGGGAATTCCACGAAGTTCCGTGAATGACTTTGCGATCTACCCACACCTTTAAACCTTTCAAGCTGTCCAAGAATGCAGGTTTCCCTACATATCCCAGAAGTCATCAAACTCTTTGGAGGAGAATTAAAATGCTTCAATCTATTCTGGTCACTTGGACCACTGAAGCAACCTTCGCTTCGGCGCAGGGGCGGGCAGAGATGGCGGACACCTACCGCGGCGGCGCCCACTTCCCCAACAACAAGAGCTGCGGCCTGGGCGCTGAGGCGGGCCACTGGTTCGATAGGCAAGGAAGGATTTTTTTCTTGGTGGCTACCAGCCATCCGGTTCCTTAGCTTTGTAGCCTTTTAGAGTTTTCCATCTAACCCACTAAAGGTTAAACTTTTATCCGGGGATCTGAGGGCAGCCCAGTTTGGTTTTTGTTGTGCGTTTTTTTGTTTTTCTGGAGGCAAACATGCTGCCATGTTTGATGCCGATGGTCTTCATGGCGGCTTCTTGGAGGGACATATCAACTTGTGACATGGCCGGAACGTGTTTTGCCAAGAAGTCGCGAGGGGATCTCAGCTTCATCAAATTAGGGGGTTGCGCTCTGATCCAAAATGAAGGTTCCACTTTCATATGGAAGCCCTGGTCTGATGTGCTGAACTGTTTTGCTTAATGTTCGTCAGATCCTCAGGATCTACCATAGGGAGGCCCTCTTTTGGTTGGGTGAATCATTCTGATGAACGTGAATCCCAATTTGTCGTCCCTTGAGCTGGTCAGTCGGGTTCCAATGTGCCAGGCGACACACCATCGTCCAGCTTTGTACCTGGGCCGGGACTATGTCAACGAGGAGTGGGACTCGGATTCAGATGGGAGAGATAATCTGGGGTTCGTTTAGTTGCCCAGTGGATTCCGCCCTTTGTTCTTTTTTTTTTCTTCGGAAATGCCCTTTTTTGCCCATGGCCACTGGGCATCTGAGATGGGGTTGGGGTTGACCTAGGGCTTCTTTACTTGGCTTGGGGTTGGTTTCGGACTTACAGTGGTTTGGACTGAGACGAAGGTGGGTCAAGGATGTGTCAAGGGTCGGCTTAAAGTGTGTTCAAGGCTTTGCGAGTTGTCTGCGGGTATCAACACATTATTCAGCAGTGGTGGATGGATGGCTCGGGACATGAGGGTCTGAAGAAGTTTTGTAGAAAAGCCCGGTGGGATTGGGAGATTGCTGCATCTACAGCTTAAATCCCCATAGCATTTTCCGATGTCTTGGGTAGTCACTATTTGTAGGCTTTCTTCAATGAAGATAGGCTGGCTAAATGCAGATCGGGGAACCGTGGGTTGCCATCCCGAGTGGCTTTCCCCGGTCTTTGCCAGATGGGCTCTGGCACTGGGGTGGGGCAGCGGTTTCGGAGATTCGGTTTCCTTGCATTTGCTTAAGAAAATTTTTGTATTTTCCCTTGTTCGTTTAAAACAAATAAATCTATCACTACTGGTCATATATTTGATCTTTCCCGCGGGCTGAAGCAAACGGAAGTTTCAGAGTAGACCAACTGGAAGGTCGCCTCTGGTGGCATCAACGGCTTGTTGATGATGGCCTGAGCCTCAGAGTGGCCGTCTCGAAATGGATATGGGTCAAAATTAAAGCACAGGGAATTGGACCGCAGGTCTTAGTCCATGTTACCACTTACAGGGTTCAATCTTGGGTACCTATTATTGACCCACAGCCAAATCAGGCGGTTCAAAGGGAGCCGAAGATAAAGCCAAGCAGTTCACACAAAGAGGGAACAAGGCGCCGCGCGCATTCAGCCCCCTTTCGTGGGGCGAAAGCGTCTCCTGTGGCAGGGCCTTTTGCTGTCCTTCTGGTCAGGTTTGTTGATGGGTAGTTTTCGTTGGGTTTGATTTGGTTGTTATCACTCCGCCGGGCTTGGCTTGATTTGGTTCCGCCTTGTTTGCTTTCCTTAATTCTCCGTTTCAACCAACAAAAGTCGACTTTCCGCAGGTCTGAATTCACGGCTGCTTCGCTTTTTGTCTCCCCACCCCGTGGCACGCCAGAAAAGTCTTAAAAGCTTTCTGACCACCTTTTCAAATAGGTTCTTGTTGTGCTCCCTTCCCCTCCTAGAAACAGCGGCAGTGGCGCGGGTGCCCCTTCTCCTTGAGGCGCTTGAACCCCAGAACCGGCCCGCCTCAAGCGCGTCCGACGCTCGCGGGCGTGCGCGCGCCCGAGCGCCCGAGGTGGCCACGGTGGTGGCGGGCATCAGCATCGACCTTCCCGGGCAACACATCTTCGCCATGGGCGGCGCCTGGCGCTCGCGGTCGACATCGGGAGACGTCACGGGGTCGAAAGAACCGCCTGGTGGTTTTTCAGGCTCGGTGCCGTTTTTTTTTTTTTTGTTGCATTGGTTGCAAGAAAGACCGCAAGGACTATACCCGGGACTACCTGGAAAGTCCCTTTACTTTGAGAGACGAACGCAAGTGTGGCAAGCCCAACTCTACGCTAGAACCCCTACTCCCAACCAGAAACCAGCTTCGTTTAGACCTCGTTTTTTTCACAAGGTCCCCAAAAGGTCCAGTTCTGTGCAACACTCCCCGCCTGCCACGCTGACCACATCTGGGCGCAGGTGCGACTGTTTGTGTTGCAGCCAACGCTGGCCGCATTTCCTGGGAGTAGTTTGGTGCTTTTGGAATCTTTGGACCTGCGTGTTTGGAACATATCTTCCAAAAAGGGCCAGGGCTTCTCACCAAGTTATTTTTCCAAAGGTCACTCCGTGCTTCCAACCTTTTCCCCGCGTCTTTTTTAGGTTTGCCACGCGGCCAACGGGCCTCACACGCGGCGTCGCGCCGCCTTGGCTCGGCGCTTTCGGTGCCGAGGCCAGTCTTTTGGCCTACGGCTTCTCCATGGGCTTCGGCGCCTTTGTGGCGCCTGGGCCAGAAATCGGATCCAAAACCAAGCGCCTGGCGGTTGGTCCGGTTCGAGGGCCTTGTACACCCAGACAAAACCCGGGGGGGGGGGGGAACCGAGCCTTGGAAAAAGGACAGCCAGTATGAAAGTGGTCCGAATGTGTGGTGACATATATGTTCTGTGGACTCTTGAAAGGAATTTGTGCATGGTTTGTAAGGCGCACCATCACTTATGGATTGCTGTTGGGGCAAAAGAGGCATAAATCATGAGCGTTTCTTACAAGGCATGACAATGGCACAAAGAGTGAGTGATCATGGTCATGCGGAACATGACCTGAAAACCGGATTGAGAGTGAGCCTTGCTTGGGGATGATGGGGATCCCCATGGAAAGCTAAACCGCCCTGCAGGAGCGAGCATCATGTGAACCTATTTCTGGGGGGAAGTGTTTTTTGTTTTTTTCCCCCGTAGGCGGAAACAGGGGGGGGCGCCTTTCTTTCCACTTGGGGTAGGATGTTGAGGCCATGTTGCAACGAGGGAACCGTTCTAGATAGCCTGAACAAGGGATTCTAATGAAACCGGTACCTTACTGGTGCTCAGCAAATGAGAAGATGCCCCCTGCTCTGAGCCATCCCTACCTGCTGATGTCCTGAACCATCCCCTTCCGGTCCCTCCAGGGTCTCCTCAATTCGGTAAAGCTCAAGCTGTCAAGTGCCAATAGCTGTGGTCGAATGGCAAGGGGTTCATCCAGAGGTTTGCGTGACAGCAATAGATGTTCTGCCAGTCAGCCTTATGGTTTGATTGGGGGACTCACAAGAAGTGATACTCCTCGTTGCTGGGACGAGAGGATTTCTGAATGACCTGGCTCCAAAGCACGCCCATTCCATGGCGCGTGCTTTGGCCTTGATGATATGGACGGGTAAGATTGTTTCATCACTTTGGTGCTTTTGGAGGGTTTGCGGATATGTCCCTCAATATAAATAGAGATGTTGCAGGGTTGAACTTGACTTGATGGCTTTGCCCAGACCACAAAATCAATACTGGACATGTGCGCTACAAGACATGCGATGAGCCATACATCCGCAATGCTTTCAACATTCTCCCGCAAATGAACGCCGACATCTATGAATGCAGCGCTGATCAAGCATGAAAGGTCCCTTTTGCAGGGGTCGGGTGCAAGCATATCTAAGCTTTCATTAGACTTTACAGATCCCTAGATGGACAATGCAGATGGTACATTTCTTTTCTCGCATGAACTCGGCACCTGGCACCGCGTCAACGAGAGGTGGAGGAAGCCAAAGAAGGCTTCGCCTGGAGCCAGATGCAAGAGGAGCCGGGGCCTGAGTCAATCTTCGGCTGGCGAACTGGAAGATCGAACGGCCGGGGGTCCTTGGAGCTCTCCCGGTTTTGTTTGCTTTTGTTTTTTTTCCCTTGTAGTTAGTTTTTTCTGTTTGGCTTTACATCTCTTTGGAGTTCAGTGGGTCCCTGTGTCTGCTTCTTCGATTCTTCGACTTGAGGTTTGGCTTTTGCTCCCTAAGGGGTCCTCTTTGAAGATGTTTGGAAATCTTGGTGGGAAAGTTGGTAAAGGCCAAAGGCTGTTCCCCAGTTTTTTCCAGGGACTCACGAGCGAAGCGATTCGCATCCAGGCGGGTTCCTGGAGGTTGCGGATCGTGGGTCCATTTGTTCTGCTCTGTTTGGGGGATCTTTGGACCTAAGAACCATGGGTCCATGAGCACCAACTTGAGGCAATGAGTTGTGGTTGGGGGGTGGGGGGCCTCTATCTTGGAGCGGTTAAAGCGATGCACTTACCCAGGTACAACGAAGTGCGGAATATGCCCAGCTCGGAAGTGGACGAGATGATTTGTCACTACAGGCCGGGCGGATTGTTTGAGTCTGGGTGGCTTGGCGGTTTGGAGCTTCGAACCCAAGCTCTTTTTTTTTGAAGCCAAATGGGGAAGGTGCCTGCTTACGTTCGAAGCACCAAACCAAACCACCGAATAGTGGTAAGGTGAACATAGTAGTGAGGGACAATCCATTGTGTGGGGCGCCGCCAACATTCCACAGGACCTTGTTTTTTCAGTTGTGGGGGTTGTGTTGCCATGCTTGAGCCTCAATGTCGCCTCGTCCAGCCGTAGTCTTGCAGAATATTCCTTTGGAAGGTGAGTTCACATCCTTGCCGTTGTATTGGTACGGCCACATATTGGCTCACATCTGGGAATCTCCGTCCGCAGCCCTAGCAGGCGGCGCGGCCTGTCCGAGCAGGCAGGGTCAGAACGCATTGGGAGTGTCTTACAAGGCAGGTGGTGTAGCCCAACCGAACGGCGCTTCCCCTCTTCAGATCAGGTCCCTTTAAACAAAAACCGCCCTTTGAATTCTTTCTGGGGCAACAGGCCATGAGTCAGGGAGCTACTTTGATACCTTGTTCTTGTTTACTCGCCTGGTGATGCCACTGGAAGAAGCTTAGTCTCATGGTCAAAGACGGTCAGCTTATGTGTGTATTCTGTTGATTTTGAGGATGACCCACCAAACATGGAAGCCAAGGTAAGGGTTCCTGCGAGTTTCTGTGTCTATTGGTGGGAGGGTATGAAAAATATGCCTGACAAATCGCTTGGCCATGATGTTGGCGTACTGCTTATTACATGATTTTGCCCTTCCCTCATTTTCCCTTTCAACCGGCACTTCTTTTGCAGGGGGTCCAAGTCTGTCACTCAACACGGGTCCATAGTTTATCTTTCTCCCTGCGTTCCTGGACTTTATCCTCTTTGGGAAGACCTTTGTTTTAAATGAAGCTTTTGTGTTGGCCAATCCACACAGGAAGTGAGATACTATACCACTGCAGTCCGTGCAACCCACCAAAGGGTCTAGTTTAGTGGAAATGGGCTGTCAGGGCACCCCCAGTCCTTGCAGTTCTATACCCTTCAACGTTTGCATGTGATGTGTTTCAACTTTTGTATGTGATGTATTTAGAGGTTGGAGGCATTCATGACAAAACCCACTGAAAGACGATCTTTTAGCAAGGAGTCAACGAATCACTGAGAGTCCGGTTCCACGAACACGTGGGTAGGACGGACGGCATGCAGCCCATGCGCTCGCCAGGATGCACGCACAGTGTCTGGGATCCTGTCGCAATACGAGGCTTCGGATCTTTTTCACCAGGGGTCCGGGTCGTGTGAGCTTGAGCAGCACCCAATGTATGCGAACCTTTACATGCTGATAGAAAGAACGGTCATTGGTCTTTTAAGTGGGTTGTTCGAGCGGCAATTGGATACTGTCAATCTGATTGATCGATAATCAAAGGCTAGTGGGAGACAGTCCCAACCAGAAATAGAAGCAGCCACTCTTTCGATTCTGTGGTCAGGTGTAGATGCTGACTCAACTTAGGTTGCTCACTTTTCGTGCTTGAAAATGGACGCCAAGCGTGCTGAATTTATGCTTAGCACGTTGCCTTGTGTGCCAGATTCATTCCAGTTCCCGAGCCTCAGGGAGTACTTGACTTAGCTTCAGGGTTCAGGTTTTTGACTACCGGCTGAAACCCAGCGCTTCTCTTTTGGGGGAGCCAAGCACCGGTTTAAGTCTACCTAGTCAAAATATGGGAACCCTGCTCAGCTTATTTTCTGATTACTTGCGTGGTTTGCACGAGAGGTGCCTGGCATTCATTTAGCTTTGCTTACACGCCTTCCAGCCATCCAGTTGCATTTTCAACTCATTTCTAGTACATGCTAAGTCCAAGGTGGTTGAGAATTTAGGGCCAACAACTATGGTGGTTTATGTGGGGAATAGCCCCCCAACCACCTTATTTCAGGTTGTCGAAATATTATAATTCACCCAGATAGAATCCAAGCCCAACTAATCGGAGACTGTCCCTTGCGACCTCACCAGGACTTTTGGGTGCACCACATGATGGCGGAGGAGCTAGGCCTGACTCGATCGCTGTTTTTTGGTGGAAGGTCGAGTTGTTTGGGTTGCTACTTTCTGCAATACCACGGGAATCCCTTTCAAGCTGATAGAGTGTTTGTGTTTGTTTGTTCTGTGATACCAAGGCAATGCCCTTGAGAGTTATGACCCACTTCTGCGACGTCAATCAGCTTCCCTTGGAAAAGGCGCTGTGGATTGGCGCTGTTCCGAGGGTGGTTTGTTCTCCAGAGCCAGGGCTTGAGATTTCGTGGCCACTGACCCCAACCTCCAATTTAGAATTAGGGCTATTTGGAACATGAACAAGCACCCAAGAGCCCCCCTTTCTAGAAGCGTGCCGGGTTAATTGCGGAAATGTGCTGGAAGGGCTAAATGACTAATTACACATTGTGTTTGTGAGACTTATGGCGTCAAAGTACCCCGCAACCCCATCTTAATCTGAATGTGTCAAAATAGAGGGACACTCAAAGGGGTAGTTGTTTCCTTTTTGTTTTCCCTTACCCAAGAAGGAGCCCACAAATGGGTGGTTGTCCTTTGGTTTCCATAAAAAGGCAGACCAACAAGGGGTACCGACTCAAAAACAGATCTCTTTCATGGGTGTGTCTTTTGAGGGTACCCCCAGAAATGGTTTTCCTTTGGTTTCCCTTTAAGACAGACCCTCAACAGACATATGGCTGTGGCTCAAAAAGATGTACCAAAATCGCACCTTGGTACATGGAACAAAAGACTAAAACCTGCGGTTTGCCCTGGCTCTTTAATTTCGAGCCACACCCATATCCCCACCGAGTCTCATTTTGGATCCCACCCATTGAGCCTTCGATCCCAGGCATTCAGCTGCCCAGAGGAGGCTCTGCTGCCCTCCAGTCCGGCCTGGCGCCTTCCTCAGACCGAAAGACGGAAAAAGGGATTTAGGGCTTTGAGTTTTTTAGTCGTTTGGGGGGATTTAGGTCTTTTAGTGTTTGTGTTGTTTGTGGGATTTAGGGCTTTACAAATATACGGTGTTTTAGGTTTATGACACACTTGCACCGAGCCTTTTTTCGTTTGCGGGGATTTAGGGCTCTACAAGCAAACGGTGTTTTTGGTTTGTGACAAAGTTGGTTCGAGTGAAAGCAATCCACTCTTGGAGTGCGCCACTTGGGCTAGGCACAAGCTTGAGAAATCGAGGTTGGTGTTGACAATAGTCACAAACAAACTGTGCTTGGGGGTTGAACATTGTTGCCCCAAACCTGTTTCGTTGATAATTTTGCGTTGGTTCAGGTTCTGGGTCTCCCCGAAAAACGTGGTTTGGAGATTTCATTCGCTGGCAACACCTCCAAACCGCCAGTCCAAGCCATCGGAAGGCTTAGTGGTTGGCCTTTTGATTTGATTAGGTTGTGTTTTTCCTGGTCCTTTGTGATATCTTGGGATATCCGCGACTGTGGGCAACCCCCTTTTGGCAGGGAATTAAAGCCTGCAGGCTGTCAAAAAGGACCATCCGGTTGCGGTGTTCTTGCTGCGGTTAGAGATTCCGCGGTACACTGAGAGGACGTGGCATTGTGGTTGGCCTCTTTGTTCTGTTGTTCTATATCTGCTCTTTGTGTGTATGTGTGTGTGTGTGTTTCATTATAATCACGTTTGAATTCCTGGATGTTTTGTGCACGTCCAATGTTTGTGTGTGTAGGGCTTTGTGCGGCCAGTGTGAAACACGGAGGCTTTATTGACCTTATTTGACAACACCTGCGGGCATTTTTATATAATGACAAGTGAGGAACATGGAGCAACAGACCTGCAACATGCGAAAATTGATAGACATTGAAGTGTGGAGACAGAGATATATGATGTGTACGCTAATCACAGATCGAGAGAGTCTGAGCGTGCGAGGAAGAAGGGAGAGAGGGAGAGAGAGAGAGAGAGAGAGAGAGAGAGAGAGAGAGAGAGAGAGCTAGAGAGAGAGAGAGAGAGAAAGATTGATAGAGCAGGGATCCAGCTCAAAAACAGACAAAAGCCGATAACGATATACCTACTGTTAGTGCGGCAGTCTGTTAACCTGTCGACTTTCAATTTTCTGCAGCTCAGGCGACGGGGACCTCGTTTTTGGTCTTCGGCATCGTGCCACTCCTAGGCAGCGAGATCGTATCGGATCAAAATTGGGACGAGGGTGAGCCATCAAGCCCCTTCTGTGGCTTCCAACGGATGAGCCGTTGGTATTTGGAAGCCACAAAGTTGGAACCAACCCCTCAAAGTGGAACCCCTCAAAGAGTTGGAAGCCCTCAAAGAGTTGGAACCCTATGATTTGTTAAGACTTGGAACCCCTCAAAGTGGTTGAAGGGCATGAATCCCCAGATCTCTAATTGAACTGAATGCTCGCTTTGTTTTTGTGTGGCTGATAATTTGAGACGCCAAGCTTGCAGGAGTTTGGTTTTGTGGTGTTTCCGCATACCCGAAACGGGGGCTGCGGGAGACGCTGTCCAACAAAGGAGCCAATTGTTGAGGCCACTTTGATAGTGTCAGTCGCAGGCTGGCTGACCTTACCCCACTATGAAGATGACTCATCAAACACCCTGTAGAGCAGATTGATGTAGATTGCCTTTGTTGTTTTCATGCTTTGCAAACAGAAACGAAATCATGCGGGGAAGATAAGATGTTGACTCCCGAAACCTGCGGTCCCCTGGCGGTTTAATTTTGACCCACAGCCATGTCATTTCATCCGCTTCACTGAGGGCACATGGTGCAAAGGATAGGCGTACACCCCAGTTGCCACGTCAGAGCTCGAGGAGGGTTCAGTTACGCAGTGTCGCGCCGTGGATTCCGTTTGTGTGGAAGGATTTACCTTGCACATCAAGCCGCTCCCAACTTGCCCTTTTTTCCATGGGACACCCACTGGGCAAGAGACGAAGACGGATTCTATTGCTCAACATCTCGCTGGTATCGGCTCACTTCCCGATACTTTGTTCACTTTTTGGGAAGCCCTTTTGCTGGTAAACAGAAACACTTTAGACTTCGTCTGGCCAATCTACTCGATCGGAAGCGAGTCTGGCGTCTTGTCGGAGGTCTAGCAGTTTCCATGCTGCTGCGGAGCTGTCTTGGCCCAGCGTTTGGAGCTTACAGGGTCCGCAAGGGGCGACAGGGCTATGAGAATTTTCTGGTACCCCTTTCTAGAGGGTTTTTCGCATGACAGGGGTCTCCATTTGATGGTGTTTTATTGGCAGGATAAGTTCCACATTGTCAAGTCGACGTTGCCACAAAACGAGGGGCACATGTATGAGTATTTGGCAGAGCACAGTTGCTATACTGCACCTACAAGAAGTGGCAAGTGGTGCTCCGCATTCTGCTTTACATACTGAATGAAACAACATTGACATATTTTTTACTAGTTGGAACCACCTCAAAAATGGTTCGGAGGGCGTGAATCTATCCCTGCCTAAAACATCACACCCAGATAGGTGTGCAGTTTCACCCAGTGTTTCAGGCGCCACTTGTGTCTGAGAATCAAGCCAATAGATAATTCTACAGGACCTGAGCCAACATCCTTCAACCACGGCTGGTTGGCTATTTCCCTGTACAATGTCACGTGGAGATGTTAACTTTCCAACAATGAGGGAGCCCCAAGACATGGTGAATGCTGCTGATTTCTCTTCGAAGCCAAAAGGGGCTGCCCATGTGCTGAGTCCCACGCAGCTCCCACGTGCTGAGGTGGTACAGGCCGCAGTTCGCCACGGTCATGTCACTGACCTTAAGCGCCAGGGCCACGGCAGGAGTTGACCCCGTCCCAGGTGGAAACGCACAGGACCCTGGTCCTTTCTTGCGATCTGTTGAACTTTCGTCGCAGGAGGATAGATCATTTGGAAAGTTCCTCATTGGCAACAGTGGTTGGTTGGTTGGTTGGTTGGGTTTGTTTGGTTTGGTTTGGTTTGGTTTGGTTTGGTTTGGTTTGGTTGGTTTGGTTTGGTTTGGTTTGGTTTGGTTTGGTTTGGTTTGGTTTGTTGGTTGGCTGGTTGTTTAGTGGATTGGTGGGTTGGTGGCTTGGTGGCTTGGTGGGTTGGTGGGTTGGTGGGTTGGTGGGTTGGTGGGTGGGCGGATGCAAGGGAATGATAGGTCCCTAATTGTGGGGCATGTGGTTGTTTGCTTTGCAGAGAAGGCATACGTGGAATAAGGGAGTCTCTTCAAAGGAGTGATTTCTACATGCTATAGGTGTATTCCAATGCCCACCCACCAAGCACCCGATCTTGCCAGGCTTGACTGCTCAGCCCAAGCATGCCTATGTGATGGCTCAAGGGGCATAGTCGCCCACGTACCTTTGTCAGGCATTCCTGCCAAAGCGTCACACCGCCTGAACACCTTAAGAAATCGAATGAGTTGAATTCTTTGAGTGGCACATCTGCCTCAGAAGCGGATTAATGGATCCCCCACAGACGAAGGGATTCATTTGCAGTTAGCCAGAGGTTAAGGTGGGTGCTGACGCGGCAGTGAGAAAGATGGCGGCCTGGTTGTGCCTAGTGGCGCTTAGCCTGGGCGCAGGCGCGAGCGCGCGAGCTGGGGCACCTCACTCCATATCGAAACTGTTGGAATTTGTGGGGGGGAAGCCTTGGAAGATGACCTCAAAGGGGTTTGAAGTTTTGTTTCATTGGGATTTGGAGGCGACAGCAGAGCCCATCATAAGCCACGGACTCCCAGCAACATTGTCCGTTGCTTACATGGCGTTGCATTTTGTCTGGGGGGAGGAGTGGGCAGCCCACCGATTCTGAGACAAAACCTTTGGGTAGGTGTCAAAAGAGCGGGATGGCCGTGTTCCTGTTGGTTTCCCTTTAACTCCCCCCCAAAAAAAAACACAAAGAAGAACCTATGAAAAAAAAAACAAGCCGTGCCCCTCAAAAAAATATAAAAAAAATAAAAATAAAAAACACACACACGCCATCCTATCCAGTGCTCCTCTTCCCCGGAAGCCGGTGGACTGGATCGGAGGTTCAGCCGGACTGGCTCGTCGTAAAGGCATGCGTCATGAGCGCCAGCGCTTTCCATGGCCCCCCTATGAGACATGCACGATCTTCGCTCGGACGGTTTCCCTTCCAAGTCGCCATTTGGCGGGTAAGGTTGGGGAGGTCGCTTCAAACGCAGCACCGATCCGACAGATATTTTGGGCTCGCTTCCAGCCCACACGTGGGACGGGCTCAGGCCATGCCAAAAGTCTGGGCGCAGCTGCACTACAATTGTTTCGGTACCAGCAATGCACACTACGAATGTAGCAACGCATTTAGCTGACGCTGAGACACCTTGCTTGCATGAGTCGCTCTTACACACGTAGGAAGTGCAAATGAAATTCGCCAAACAGCCTACCAATGACATTTGCTAACTTCCTCTTGCTCAGTTGTCCCAAAACCAACCTAACCTTTTAACCTTTTGGTTTTCCCATGTTGGTCCGATTTTTAATGGCCCCAAAAGCTTAACCTTGTATTTCTGGGTCCTTTGGGCCATTGAGTTTGCATTTCCTGTGGATAACTCAGAGACTGACTAAAATCCGAGGTTCCCAGCTGTACCCTGTTAGGCTTCCAGGGCTTAGTGTGCGTGTTGTCATTTCAACCCACTAAAAGTTGTTCACTTTAGTAGGGGATCTGAAAAAGGGCCCAGTTTTGACTTTTTTGTGGGTGACTTAGAGCTAGCCGCGTGTGAAACTCGTGCAGATGGTGTGGGCGTGGAACGCGTCACCATGGAGTTGCAGTCCACAGGGGAGGCCAAGGCAGGCTGCAGAACGCTGCAAGGAGATGGGTTTGTCTTGTAGGGAGTCCCTTTTCGGTTGGTTTCATGAGGAAACCGAGACCAAGACCGTTTGTGCCATTTTGGGGGTCCCCAAGTTTTGAGACACATCCATATGGCTATGGGTCAAAACCCCGGTTACTCCCCCGTGAACATCCCAATCCCCACTAAAATAGGTTCTAAAATGGGTGGTGTTGACCCACGGCCATATATTTAGGAACTTTAGGATGTTCTGTGAAAGCGGCGCAGGTGTTGGTTGGCGAATACCTTGTTCTTTGCCGGGTGCAGGACTTGTTTGCCGAATCCCAGTTGTTTGTTGGCGAATACCTTGTTCTTTTTCGGGTGCAGGACTTGTTTGCCAAATCCCATGTTGTTTGTTGGCAAATTTCTGGGAGACTGTCCAGTTTGTTGCTCAGAGGGGGTCCTTGCAATGGGCTCAGACATGAGGGAATGGCGTCTCAGATGGATGCACAAAGAAGAAGCGAGCTCGCCGCTGCTGGGGGTACCAACGAGCTCGGGTGGTGGTGACGAAGGTCCTCTGGGGATAATGTATTTCCTTTTTTTTGTTGCACTTTGTGTAGCGCTGATGGGAACATTATCATTCCTATTGCTTGTGATGTTGTGTTGAAACGGACAGGTTGCACGAGACCTCCCCTCAGGAAAAATGCTGCGCACTGTGGTGTGCGCTTGCCGACAATCGAAAGAGCAGCGAAGGCGGTTTGATATGACCTAGCCGTACCTTTCAAGTAGGAATTGGCACAGAAGGGCGGTTGGCGTGATGATTACCGGCAAGAGGGCACCTCAAGTCAGCAATCAGTTAGAATGGAACAAGCGCACTAGCTCTTTGTTCTGTTTGCTTTGCAAAGTAGCAAGGCAAAGAAGGGCATGATGCGGAATCTCAGAAGTTCGTGCGCCGATGTACTTGTGCCCAAATGTCACCATGTCAATGTATCGAATGCATGGCAGGCGCGAGTGATGAGAAAGGAGGAGTGGCCTTCGTGGTGTGTCGAGTGTTTGCTCAGAGGAACCGGCTCCAAGGTGTCTGCGCCAACTTTAATCAGACCGTTTGTTCGAAACACAACATAATCTAGTACCTCCCTACAAACGAAACGGCTTGTTTATACAGCACATATTGACAGATAATATTATATATATATATACATATTATGTATACACATATTCTATTGATGTATGTGTTGCACGTAGTGTGTCAGATGCGGGTTTCTGGCTGCCTCCAAGCCTTCCGCAGCCTTCCGCTCGCCAAGATGAGACATCATCATTCAGGGCCCTACTAGTAGGCGTCGTGTGGAGACTGTGGAACCACAAGAGAAATTGGATTTTTGCCATGGTGGCTCGTGTTTTTCGCTGACAGAATGGCGCGACGGTTTTCCTGTTGGTTTATCTGCAAAACGACAGAAAAGGGGGGGGTTACCCGCACAAAGACACACCCATTTGTGTTTGCCATGTCGACACCTCCAGGGGAATTCAATTCTGGGGCAGAGTGAATAGCCTTTTTCTCAGCTGCCTCTGAATATGGGTGGCTGGTCTTTTTGAGGCTCACCACCATTTGTCTGATTCTAAAGAGAAACCAAAAGGAAAACCGAAGGGGCATGAATCTGTTTAATGTCAGAATAGGGCTGGGTTTCAGCTGCCACGTTTGGGGGCTTTATCTTTGAGCGACTAATCGGGTGTAAGACGGTATACCTAGGAACCACTAGCCACCTTGCTGCAACTCTGGGCGGGTGATCAGATTTGATTTTCTGGGCTCAAACTTACCTATGGAAGAGGTTTGCACGAGCAGAAGTAGTTGTGTGCTTGATAGGAACTTGATAAGATAAGTCACCCTAGATCCAACCAGACTAAAGGCAATTGTGCATCAGCTTCTAAATTATTCGGTCCTTCCTATTGGCGCGTGATGTATACAGTATAATATATATATATATATATGCACGCGCTAAGCACCTATTTCAGATGCTCATGTGTGGTTGTCCTACGTCAGAAGTAGAATGATCAGTTTAGTTGATGACAAGTTCGGAGGCCGTTGCGCTTTGCGGTGCATGTCTTTACCCTTTGGGTTTCACAACACGACCTGTGTGAGGTAACCCTCACAGCACCCACTTGCGTGTGCAGATTGTGCGCACATGAGCTGACAATAGGATTGAAAGGCGAGTAGCGCTTACATTGGTAAAGTGGCATCCTCGAACTTGGCCTTTGGATGGTTTGAAGTAACAGCCTCCAAAGCTGCTCAAACTGTTCATGTGACGGGATCCAACTACAAGGAACCACTGCAAAGCCAGCAGGTTCGTGGAACTCCAACCGCATTTTGGGTGCATGCTTTTGCAATATTCCACGGCTAGTCGGCTAGTCTTCAGATCCTTAAGCCCTTCTACCTTCCAGAAACTTTGCGACTTTCATGTGCTGCAACCCTTCTTGGTGAGTTTTTCTTCTGCGGGTTCCCGCTCATTCCTCGATTTGTCCAGGACCCGCCGCTTCTTTCCGAACTGGCAGAGCAAGCCATCGACTGCCGGTACCGGAACCTCACCCGCGTGGACCACGTCTGCCCTTCGGAGCAAGCAGGCCTCGCGAGGGAGTCGTACGCCCAGCTTCACGTGGACTTTGGTCGGTATCCTTGTTGTGTGGTGGGTGCCATCTGCGGAATGGTCTATCATAGAACAAGAGTTGGTAAGTTCCCAATGTGGATCCGGGACCCACGAATGGTCTAGCCCACAAGAGGTTGTCCTTTTCTGGTTACGACGGTAAGCTGGGTGGCGGCCCAGGATTTGGTGTGGTTCCTTTTTGAGGCTACCCTGGGGCATTCGGAAATCCAAGGGAACCCACCCTTTTTGGCCTATGAGTGGAGAGCTCAGTTTCAGGCGCTGTCAATTTCAGTAAGGTTGCACTTGATAGCCGATGGGTGCTGGGGTGAAGATGCGCGGTTCCTGAACAGCATCCTGCAGTCGTTTGGAGGTAGCCAGCAGCAGTGTGAACAAATATCGCTCCGCCTTAAACATGTTTGTTGTTTACTGTGTGTGTGTGCGCATTTGTGTGTGTGTGTGTGCATGTCTGTGTATGTGCGGCTGTGTCTGTGCGTTTGTTTGGTTTGGTTCGGTTTGGTGTGTTTGCTTGGACACGTGCTTTGTGTTTGGTTGTGTGTGTTTGCTTGGTTGGTTTGGTTTGGTGTGACTTTGGTGTGGGGTGGGTTGGGTTGTTTTGTGTGGTGTGGTGTGGTGTTGTGTGGTTTTGGTTTGGGTTGCTCGTTCGTTCATTGGTTGGTTTGTGTGGGTGTGTTTGTGTGTTTGCTTGCGTGCTCACCTCAGTGCGATGTGTTGGCCCAGATCGAATGGATGCCTGACTGGCACTGACTGGTCAAATTGTTTTAGGTCTTCGGACTCCAACAAAGTGTAATGAGAGCGCTTAACAAGGACACCAACACATCCCCAGGCTGTCGAGCACGGGTTTCTGCTGAATCGGATCCTGTAGGTTTGAGGGCTCCTAGTGCCTTTGTGTTCAACCTGCTTGGTGTTGACAAAGAACCTTGCAGCACCCGCGCCAAGCGGCGTCAAGAAATGCCCATTGATCTGAAGAGACTCAAAGCTGACACAGCCCACTCTGACTTGTAATCAAAGCTCTGTCAGGAATTGTTCACGGCTTCATGATGAAGGTGTAACAAGTCACCCACAGTCACCCACGTCAGGCAGTGAGAAGAAAGGCAGTTGTCGCAACCGCCCAAATAAGCTGTAGGCCAATCCGTAACAGTCCTTGTGGAAAAAGAGGCGCAGGAATGCAGGCCGGACCATACTTGGAACGGCACGATCCTTGCTTGATTAGTAGGGAACTGTGGAGAGAGACTTTCCCATTGAGTTCGCGTTGAGAATGGTTGGGAGGTTCATTTCCATCTTTCCCCAAGCAAGGATCGAAGTGTGCGTTTCAAGAGTAGGAGACCTCGAAATGAAATTGGCTTCCATTTGATGTCCAGCCAACAGGGGGCTCAAAAGCCAGCCAAAAGATAGAAGGCTGCCAGCATGAAAGACACATGCGCCAAAAACACGAAGCAAAATCGGGTTCCGGGAAACAAGGACGTTTGGAACTGAGCAGATACAAGCGATCGAAATGGCTCGAGTCCTTGCGCGCCAGGGGAATACTACTGCAGGACGCGTTTCTTCATAGACGTGCACGGCAATCTCAGGAGCGGTTTTGCGGATGAAGACGTGGCCAGTCAATTTGGGTACCCTTTTTGGGTGTGTTTGACAGGGCAACCAAATAGGAGAACCTTGCGTGTTGAGTGGGCAAACCGCAGGACAACCACCCAGCTGAGGGTTGCCATCGTAGACAAACCCATCCAGAACGATTCAGCCACCCGAGAGCGACTTGCTGAATTGTGCGGGTTGCTCCTTGAAACTCGGTGTTCCTTGTCCCATGGCCAGGCAGAGCCAAATGCCGACTTGTTTCTGAAAGGGAAAGCCTTAAGGGTAAGGCGACTCCTTAAACTTGCACGGAATGAGGCCTATGGATTCCTTCAGGGAAGAATATTTTCGATTTATTCCCAACACCCTGAGTCACTAAATTCCAGAGCATTTTGGGGGGCTGAGTGCTAGACGACCCCATAACAACCAACCATGTTGGGGGCGGAATGCCATGAGACAAACCTATCAGCACGAGTCCGCGCTCTTTTGCGCCAGGCCCTGCAACTGGTTTACCATCGCCCCGAAGAACCCTCCCAACTGCGACTGGGACGGCAAGCTGAGCTGCGACGAGGAATCCACCGCCGAGATCAAGGCGAAGAGGCGACGGGCTGCTTATTGTGCCAGCTTCAAAATACTGAGTTCTCCTCTTGTAGCCGGAACATGTGCCAAAAACTACAAGAATGTGCCACAAACAGTATTTTAAAGCTAGTTTTGACTCTTCAAGACTACTGAGTTCTCCACTGTTTGTGGCACATTCTTGTAGTTTAGGGTATGGACTAAGTCTGGGCCACAAGCTGAGGATTTTTTTGCGTTCCCCAGATTGCGAAGTGTAGTAGATCGTCAATTTTGATGTACAGCCATTTGCGGACCAGCTCTAAAATCCCGGGCCCCCAACGCTGCTGTTCTCACAGCCTTGGTAACCACGTATTTTGACAGCCATGAGTCACTGGCCATTCTAGTGTTGGATGGAAACCCGACAAACCCCGGGGGCTGACGTATTTTGTTCTGTTACTCTTGGCTGCCGGATGCAAGACCTCCAGAGTTTCTTTTTGAGGTCCCATGGCGGGGTGTGGGCTTCCGGACGCTTTGGGATTCTCTGCAACTCCCAGTAAAGCGTCAGAGGACAGTTTTTTTTCGGGGTCCGAGAAAGGGAAGCTTCATCAGTTGGATTGCACTTCCCTTGGCGCAAATCCCAAGCCAGGATCGGACGGGGTGTTGGAAGCTGGAGTAGACAAAGTAGCCAGGGACCTTGCGAAAGGGGCGGGCCCACAGGGCTTGAGAGCAGATGCTGAATAAGCAGCACTTGATGTAACTTGTGTTGTTTGCTTGCAAGGAACCATGGTATATGGAATGACCCTCAAGTGGCGGTCCAGATTGGTGACTACCTCGTGTTTGCTACCTTCACGTACAATCATCAATTATTTGATGGTAGCAAGGAAGGACTTCCTGATTTCGGAGGCATGGCCCCAAGACTCTCTGCGGAGCTTTGCTCTTTGCACCAGCACTCAGCTGGAGCCTGTGAGACGTCAGCCCCTAAGAGTGCGCATCGGCGGCATCGGACCCCCAGCCAGGCGAGCCGCGCGCAAGGCCAACAGCACGAGCCCATGATGCGAGCCAGCGAAAGGATAAAAGCGGTGCGCCGCCAAAGGGGGGATGAGCATCAGACTCCTTTCACTTTCTCCTTCCCCACTTCCAGTCTGACTTATTTTTTTGGGGGAAGGGGAAGAAGGGAAGGGAGAGGGGTTGGGATGCTATGCTGCCTAACATGTGCAACTTGAAGTCTGAGTGCACATGTGCGGTTCAAACAAAAGGCGGGCTAAGGGCAAACCCAAAAGCCAGCCAGCCATATTCGAAGATCCAGCCACCTGGAGAAATACTTTCAATGTGAGCTTGACAACTGCATGATATTTGGGGGAGGCATCACGTGCCACTACCAACCTTGTTTACCTCCCTGCATTTCAGGAAGACCGGCTGTGCCATTTTGAAGGGTCCCTAAAGAGCGAGCCACTGGTTGACGTTGGGTTTCAGCAACGGCCCCCGTGAGACACGCAGTCTTGACGGCACCCGGTCCAGTGAAATTGGTGCTGACCTGGAAGGATGAGTTCGGGTCGCCGGGGAGAAACATGAATGCCGAAAACAAAAGAGAGAGATCACAAAAGAGCAACCCAAAGAAGCCATAAGCCCAAAGGACAACCAATCCACTTTAACAAAAGACACAAGACACCCAAAGGAAAACCAGGCAACCTATTTCGGGTTGCTTCCCCTAGATGCTGCCTCGACTCGATTGGATCGAGGCAGTGGCACTGTTGATGCTGGGGACCTTTCTGAGCCGCGTGATCGGGAGCCGCGCCCCAAGGAAACAGCGATTGTTTCGGTCTCCAAAATCGAAATTCTGGACCCACAACATGACAAAACGGTTTTCCTGCTGATTTTCCTGTACCAAAAAGGGGCATCCTGTTTTGAGGGAGGGAACCAAAGGACGCCCACCATTTTGAAGAGTGCATGGTGGTTTTCGTTTTCGTTCTCCTGTACCACCAAAAACCTTCCTCGAAAAATGAAGGTACCCATTTTGGAGTGGTAAGAAACACCAAAAGGGCACGAACCGTTCCTACCCCCGCGAAAATGGAATAGGGAGGTGAGGTAGGTTTTGCAGTTTGTCCCTTCTTCCGGCTTGGGGGGGCCTTCTTGGGGAGGTCCTAAGTCAAAATTGGAAGAAAGGCCTGGGAGTTGTTTTTCCAGTTTCGTCTGGGGGGTTCCCCCCTCTATTTTCCATTTGGGGATGCCGATTGTAGCATTTTCCACAGATACCAACACCCTCCCCCTTACCATTTAAAAATGTGTGGAAAAGTACATCTGGTTGGAGGTAATCCCTCGGAACCTCAGCCCCTTCCAATTAACCTCCCCCTCAACCAGGGACAAAATGGAAGCAGGGGGGGAGGTCAAAAAATGAAATATGGAGGGGGACCCCCGTCCCCCGCGAGGCGGTAGTGGTCATTAACGATTTTGGGGGGTCTCCTTCCGGGTGCAACCGCATTCCGAACCCTCAACAGATCCAACAAAATGGCTAGATTCCGCTCGGTTTCCTTGTGAATACCAACCGCAAGGGGCCAACATTTTGAGAAACTCCCAAATGAGGGAAGCCTCCCAAGGAACTGGGTTTATGTTGCTTTGTTTTGTGCTGTGTCTCAAAATTCGCGAAACAGCCGGTTTATGCATTCGGAAAAAGCCATTATTGTATCTGGAAACAAGCAGCAGTTTGTTCCTTGTTTGTTCTATATCACTCTGCAAATACCCAAAAGAGTTCCCGTTATGTTTTTATTCTATAAATCTGTGTGAATCTGAGGGAGAGCGTCTTCGCTTCGCACGAAGCTTCCATATCACCCTGCTTTTTCAGTCTTGAGCTTGATCTGGGGCCTCTTGGCGTTGCGACCTGCAGGCCGTGCGCCTCTCTTCGACGGCCTGATGATGTGTGCCAACGGACCTTGGGACTGAACATGAGGAAGTGGAACATTGAGGGTGAAGGGGTGGAACACAGGGTTTGGGGGGGGGTTGGGATGGAACCTTGATGCGTGTTTTGGGGCGGTGGTTGATGGTGTTCTCGATATTTATGTGCAGGGGGAGGTCGATGTTTTGTTTGGGCTGGACAATTGATGGTTTTGGGGAGCACTCTTGTTTTGCTTTCTTTGCGCTGGCCCTGTGGATCTGTGTGTTTTTTTTAGTAGTGGTCAGCCTGTGGAAGGGTCCTGGCCGACCATGCGCCGGAAAACGTCGATGGCTTGGAGGTGTTCCGCGGGGTGGTTTGCCATTTATCCTGAAGAACCAGGGGTTCAATTCCCTAAACCACCAAGGGGTTACCTAAGGTTTGCATGTAGGGGAACACCATCTGCCTTTGTCAACGTGCCAACTCTTTTCTCATATGCTCGTACGGTCGGTGTCCGTTTTTGACCCATCCTTTTGGTTTCCCTTGAAATACCCGAAAGTGGCGATCCTCCAAAAGGGACACCGAGCGGCTTCTACCACCGAAATACCCGAAAAGAAGTCAGACGCAGCCTTGCGGCGCGGCGGTTGTGCGCCGCAAGACCCAAAAGGTCCAAGACGCGTTGCAAATCGGGGTGGTTTTAGAGGGAAGCCCAAAACAAGAAACGCAGTATTGGCGGGACTCCTAAAAGAAGACGAGCCACCCATATGGGTTCGTGACATGTGTCAAAGGCCAAAGGACGACCCAACTTTGTTGCCGTGTTGATACAAACCAACCTGGATTTGTATTTGTTTTAGGGTACCCCCTGCCGGGGGGGTGCTAAAGGGAATCTAAAAGGAAACGAGCCGTTTTTTCGGTCTACACTATTTTGACGCAACCCCCATAATATGTACCTGGTTCACCCCATCGTGATTGTTGAGATGGCCGTTTTGGCATGTTCAGTTGCTTAGCTTCATTCGCTTTCAGCCGAATTGCCTTTCGAGCTCGCAATTCATACAGCCAGCTTCAAGCGTGGCCAAGGCTTCGCAGCCTCGTTCATGGCTTTTGCGGTGGGCCTGCAGCTCAGCGCGTAGCCTTTATCAATGAAACTGATCAAGATGGGGGGATGTTGCAATTGCCCAACCTGCACCTTGAGGGGGACCCGTATTTTTTTGCCCAGTGAGTTCTTTGTCAAACAATCACCACGGAGTGATGGGCGTGTGCTACTTTCGGGATCCCCTGGACTTAAAGGGGAACCTACAACAACCCTAATCGTAGGTGGGCAGGAGGCAAAAAACAAACAAATCGGTTCTGACATGTGAATTTAATAGGAACCCAGCCCTGGGCGTTTTGTTGTGTGGCTCATTCTGGAAGACAATCAACGCCTACTATTGGGTTTCTAAGGCGGGGTTTCGGTCCTTGGCGCAAGTGTCCGATGGCCTTTGATCAGTTTCAAGGAAGCCGCTTGGCTTGGATTCTTTTTGGTTGGGGCTGGGTTGGTTGTTGGGGTTGGTGATTTGGATTGGTTTGGATTGGTTGTGTGGGGTGACACTTTGATCGTGGAGTGTAAATGGAAACTGGCCAGGAATGCATTCAAGTGAATCCAAACCGACTAGGATGGCTCGTCGGCTATGACTTGATAAATCGCCCTGTTAGAGGGCGCCACTCGATCCATTTTTGAATGAGCTCTCAAATAAAGCACCCCTCGAAAGAGGGGTGGTTTCTCGTCGGTCTTTTCTATTACCACAAAAAGGGGTAGTTTGCCGGTATGCCGGGCAAAATAAGTACTATTCATGTCCAGAACTTGGTGTTGCTGTACCACAAGCCCCAATTCTAGTTGTTCAAGCCCTCGTAATACCTGAAAAGAAGGGTACCCTCAACAGAGGTCTTCAGTTAGCTAGCCCAGACATCACTCCTCTCAGGCCAGATGCTGGTGAACGGCGAGGCCACAGTGCATGAAGCAGGTGACAGGAGGTGAAATGAGAACTTGCTTGGGCAATTGTTTTTTTGTTTGTGCTGCAAATTTACATCATGCTACACTATGGTCCTATAGTGTTGTTGTTTGTGTGCTGCAATTTTTACATCTTGCTACATAATTAGGGGGCAATGTTAATCAGGTTCCAACACAGATTGGGCATGTCCAACCGTTAATTGGGCCCCTGAAAATGAAACTCAATCATGTTTGTTAGCTGCCAGTTTTGGACAAGTGGTCCAAATGGAAGCGGCTCCGGTGTGGAACTTTCCTTTACCTGGGTCATGGGTCGTATATTCCTCTTCAGGTCTTACCTTTCCAATAGGACACTCATTTCAGCATCGGTGGCTCGTCTCTTTTCCGGGCACATCTTGAACGTTGGCTCTTTTTTCGGGAAACCAAGAGGAACCTGGAGCCATGTTTGCGGAGTTCCCTTTGAGATAAGACCGATCTGGTCCCAAACGTGATGTTGAAATCACCCCAGGGCCGCGCCATCGCTGGAGACCTAGTTGCGTGCAACCGGAGAAGGCGAGCGAACGTGCTTTTCTCGTGACCCCAAACAAGACTTCTTGCTTAACAATAAAACAGAACAACGCACACCCAATGGCTTGTTTTATGGAAAAAACAATCCAACAACGGTATACTGCTAAAAAGTAACAACAATGGAGAACCTGATGAGACGCCTGGTTGAAGGGCAGCGGTGTGTATGGCATGGATCCTTCCTCCGTGTGATGACTTGGGAATGTTGACAGCCACGAGGCCTGCAAATCCAGTTTTGGGGGAGATGCCGGCGAACAAGTCGCTTCTAGATGTTTGGGTGGTACGCGTGACGCGTGATTTCTTCAGCAAGAATCAAGGGGCCCTCTGAAAAGAAGTTGCAACTCTTGAGGGATCCTGTTTTCTGCCTTAAACAACAGACAAAAACCAATCGCCAATTCAAGAAGCGGCTAAACATTTGGGAACAACACGAGGAACTAAAACGATGCGGCTCAACAAGCGCTTCGCCTGGCATCGAGTCCTGACGTGAGGTTTCCTTAGCTTACCTAAACGGATGGTTTAGCCTTTTCCCCTTTGCATCAGTATTTGTTAAACCACAAAACATCACACAAGCAATTAGACAAGACCTAAAAGTAGGGGGTATGACCTTTTCCACCTGTACAGCATAGACATGCATAGACATGACCAGCCACATGTATTTGTTTGGGAGAGGACACCAGACAGGAGTTCCCACGAGGATTCGTTGAAAACCCCCCGCTCCCCCCCCCTAGTCAAGAAAACAAAAAACAGAAGAACAAAAACAACAAAACAAGCAAAGATAAACACAAAGGTGCAGGTTTCAGGGGGGAAGATGGATCTTCGGCATATCTTGATCGACTCGTGAGATTCGTTCAAACAGTTTCGGTGCCAAATGGGTGGCTGGTCTCCTTATTATTGTGGGGGGGCCAAAATGGCTTCGGTTTTTTCCCGGGGTTCCCTTTTCAAAAGAAAGGTTGGCACACCCAGAAAATTGGACCCGATAGGGTGGTGTTCAAACAAAACCACCAAAGACACCGGCCTGACTTTAGAGCCATTCCTGTTGGCGATGTCTGATTTTCAGCGGCGCAGTCGGAACATACGATATTTGGGTTTTTAAACGGGGAATTGAACCCGCAGAATGGTAGACTTCCTGCGATTTCCATTGCAAACAGAAGCCAAAACAAACCAACCAATTCTAGCAGGTTCCCCTATCCTGTTGAAAGCCTTGACTGTTGGGCACTGTTGGACCAACGGGAAGCCCTCATCCAACAATTGGGGCGGCTTGGGTTGTGTTCAACTGGCAGAGGTGCAGCTAACATCCTATGACCATGCTACGTTTGAGTTCCATGAGCATGTCGCATAGGCAATGGATAGGAATGGTGAACGTAGCGAGACACATTCGGGTACTTGTATGTATCACAATGAGGTGGCGCCCCCCAAAATTGTGGTGTTTGTTCGTTACAAGAGTACACTCCAAAAAACAAGCCAATTTAGAAACATATCTTGCACCCACCACCCTGTTTGATTGAGACAGCACGGCTGAAAAGCTGAGGTTGCTCAGCCAAAGGAGCAGAGGCACGATGGCTGGGGGGTGGAGAGCAGGCTGGCTGTGTTGTCCTTGTCGAGATGTGTGTTTCTTCTTTTTCAGTGTTGTTTTACGTCCATGCGGATAGTTGTCGGTGCTTGTTCTTGTCGCAGCAGGAAGTGTCGCTTCCCTGAGTGTTCCCTAGATTGACAATCATTCTGCAGAACATGTTGATCTGTTTGGCCCACATTCCGCCCCCATGCTCGCATGCTCGATCCGCTTGGCACTGCACTGCGGAAGGTGGAAAGCACCCAGTTTTGAGGGTGTGGCTGTTTGCGCAGGATGCCGTGGTTTGGGGTCTTCTCCAATATTCCATTTTTGAGATTGGCAAGAAATCAAAGAAACTCTGAACAATGTGATGCTGGTGTACGCTTGAGTAGGACCCAATCATTTTCGAAACTTAGACGAGGCTCGGCTTGTCTTTCTGCAAGCATGAACCACTTCGGGGTAGAAGTCCAACAGGTTCCTTAGAGAGATATGGACTGCAGTTGTTTTTTTCCCGAGAAATCCGGTGACTTCTCTGTTGAATGCGCATGACATTGAATCCACAAAGCCAAACAGGCGACAAGTCGGCAGCCCCACACTGGCCTCCGGGCACCCATAGATGGGACCAGCAGCAGGCGATGCTTAGACACCAGCAGCGCGGGTTCTGAGCTCAGCCGAAGCCTTTTTGACAGGTGGCTGTGGTTGTCAAAACCGTTTGGGGATCCCATTTTGGGGTAGGTGCACCACCCATTTTAGAACCTATTTTAGTGGGGTGTTGGGATATTCACCGAGGGTACGGGCTTTTGACCCATGGTCAGGTAGCGCTTTCAGGAGATCAGTCAAGGGAGGCCTAAGGGCCAAGTGTGCACTTTGCTCAGGCCCAAGAGGCCAGTCATTGGCAATGACTTAATGTCAACGAATTCAACAAAGTCACATTGGCATGGGGATGGATATGTTTGCATTTTCAGACATCCGCAGCACTTGCAGTGGTCACCCAGTCGACCATGTGGCATTGCTAAGGTTCCACCAGCGTTCGACATGCGCACGAGCATCATGCGGACGATCAAGTGCAAGCGGACGAGCATGTCAATGCAGACGAGCACACGAAAGCTGGGACCTTGGAGCTGATTTCCACAGCAAAGGTATGAGGGGTTGGGCCAACCAACTGGCCATTGGTGGCTTCAGGCATGCTTGTTTTGGTTTTAGGGTTTGCTTGTTTAAACACACACCCAACTGTACCAAGTTCCATATCCCAAGCCTCAAGAGCGTGGGACGCGCCTTTTTGGGACCTGCAGCCCAGGGCATGTACAACCATCACAATGTTTGTTTTACGCTCTCCCCCAGTTTTCCCGGACTTTTTTTTTGGAGGGGGTGAGACCACTTTTTGGCAAACAACAAGTTCGAAGTTGTTTCTTGGTTGCCAATCCTCGGAAGTGACTTTCAACAATATAGACCAGAGCAGCCCCTAAAATAAGCGAAACAGACACCATTTTACTCTGTTTTGGTCCGGTCTTCTGGGCCACACATCTGCTGGGACCTTCTTGTTGGTGAGCTTTCACGGGCGGCCCCAAGTTCCAGGCGTGGCCTCACTTTCGGCACCAGTTCTTCCTCAGCAGCTCCGTGCTGTGGGCCCGGGCGACCCGGAACCTGGGAGCCTGGGAACCTTTATCCGGGCATGTCTGGGCGAGAGAAGGAGAGGTCGGTCTTCAAATGGGCCACCCATGGGATTTTTCCAGCTTCTCAGGTGTGCCCTATGGTTGGTGAAAAAGAGGGTGGGTTTTGGAGAAAAAGTCGAGCAGCTTCTGTCGGCAGCGAGTTGCCTTTTGGATGATTCCCAAAGTGTGGCCGGCCCGTGGGCTTGCCAAGGCTCGTCTTGTGAGGAGCACAGATAGCCTTATGGGTAGGGACACCAAAGGGAAAGGTACCCCTTTAGAGGTGCGCTGTGAAGGGAAACTTTTTTTCAGTCATCTTGAAGGGAAACTTTAGAGGTACCCCTACTTTTCAGAACCCGTGATCAGTTCAGAGAGTCACAAGAGACTCCAGCGAACCTTGATTGGGAACAAGTGAAGGCGCACTTGCTCCACATGGGGTTGTCTTACAACAGGAATCGGAATCCTCCAATTCAGATGCGTCTGCTGAACCTTTGCTCCTGCAACAAGCAAACTCTCGTTGAAGGTCTCTGGATTGTTCGCCTTTAGCAGCTGACGTTCATCTCTCAACACTGCGTCGCTAAGACAAATCGTGGTTTCCTGCTGGTTTAGACAGACTCATATTTGTTGCATACTTTTTGCTCTAAGTTGCTCTTTCGGCCTATCCTAAACTCGGGGAGCCACTGAAAAGTAAGTAAGGGGGTGAAACAAAATGAGCCCACCGTTTTACACAGGGCGAAACAATTGCACCAAAAACGGGAAACTGCCGCCCTTCTGCGGGATGTCCTTTTGCAAAATATTATGCCCACCATGTCAATTGTCGGTCACAAAAGCCGGCGAAGACGCATGGCCCTCTTCCAAAAAAGACCAAGCAACCGACACCAAAGCACAAATCAACAAAAAACTTGCACAACGACCCACACAACAAGACATTGTTTTTGTGGCATTCCAAGGGGGGCCCCTTGCACCACGCCCGGTGCGGCTTCGAAAAACCCCCCCGAGGTCTCCCCGAGCGGTCGCTGAGGTGGCGGTGTGCTCCGCCATCGTAGCCTGGCAGACGGCCAACCGGGCGGTGATCGCCTTCCAGCGCCTGGCTGCCCGGGGAGTTTCAGCTCCGTTTTGGGTGGCTTCAGCGGAAAACCCGGGGAAAACCCAATCCCATTTTGGGCCCCCCCGCAAAAAAAATACACATGGGTGCCCAGACTCTTTGATGTTCAGCGAGTTGCGAGTCCCTTTGAGATGAACGAAAGGAACTCTTTCTGGAGTAAGTATATAGGTATGAAATATTATTGTATACCCTTTCTGGGGTCTTCTCCAAAACTGTTTTATGATCTACTGTAGACTTGGTATGAAGCAGAGTCAGAAACAGAGTCTTACAGTCTTACATAAGCAGTGCCATTTTAGTAAGCGGTTCTACCGCCTGGTTTAGATGGGATAGTAAGGCCTCTATGAACGTTGATCATGCTAGTAGAACCAAATGTCAATGGGTTTTGGGTGCTGATCATGTGGCGTGACGATTCATTGGGGACACTTTGTTGGCCAGGGGATGTATGTTCACCAACCACTTTTGAGGGGTTCCAAGCTCAAAGCCATAGCCATATGGGTGAGCTTAGAGTGAGAACCTTTCAATGGGAAAACCAAAAGTACACCAATCATGAACGGATGCCCCCAAATTTGACATACCGTTATAGCATTGCCCTTTACCGAATGATGTTTCTTTGTTCATGGTGAAACCTTGCCCCAGGTTTGATGATCCTAGGCTAGGATATCGTAAGATGTATATCCTAGGTTACCTTGACCAAGGGTTGCGAAAGGGCATGTTTGGGAGTGTTTGATTGGATCGGCCGACCCATTGTGAAAAGCCCAGTTGGATGCTTTGGCTCATTGGTCCGGTTGCTCCAGCTTTAGCCGTTTCCCAAGCCTGAGGTTACTCCACCCAACGCACAGAAACTGAACTGGTCTTGTGGAGAAGTCATTAGATGTCAAGTCAAAGGCTCGACGTTTCCCAAGCCTGATGCTACTTCACCCGACGTCTTGTGGAAAAAAACATAGGCTCTTGTGACAGGCTCTCACCAGAACCCCGCGCAAGGCGCAAAACGGCCATATCTCAGGAGGGTGTTCGGCTGAAGTGTGTGGATTTTTCCGGACGCGTGCTCCAAAACGGGGCATTTTGACAGGGCTCCTTAAAAGATGCATTCTGCCCATTTGAAACATGGCTTTTTCCACCAAAATAAAGCGAACCCATCATTTACAAGGCAATGTTCAGGTGTATAATGCATCCGGATCCCTGCTTTGACAGGATGCCAGACCGAGGCATGCATTGGGAAGTTCTTCGAGTGTTTGCCTATGGCTTGCTTGGGCCTCAGCTTGCAACGCGTTGGCTGCCACACAGATGGAGCTGCAACGAAAACCCGCGTACATCAAGTCTTTGGTGGATTTTGCTTGGATGTTAGGACTTTCACTTGTTGCCAACTAATGGGTTTTCCATTGAACCGCTATACAAGTTAGTCATTTTTAGCAGGGGAGCAGAAAGCCACCGATAATTTTCAGGTGACACTCCCAACGAATAACTTGGCATGGCCGGCCTTTTCGTCTACCTTTGATTGTGACTCAGACGAGTGCATGCCGCTGCCATAAGATTCGAGGCTGAAAGCTAGAAGCAGATCCTACTGGCTTTCCTACACATATGTGTCGAAATGGGTGTGGCTGAAACTTAAAGAGCCAGGGTTACCCAGGTAGTCTTTGGTTCCATGTACCCAGGTGCCATTTTGGTACATTTCTTTACATTTGTTACCGCCAAAAGTGTTTCAGCCTCGTACAGGTACCTGTCTTTTGGTAGACTGCAATTGTGAAACATGCTCGCGATGTCCGACGACAAGCTTGCGCACTGCGACGGCGGGATCAAGCAACCACGGGGCTGGTTGACCAGAGACGGGGTGAGTCATCCTGCGCGGTCAATACTCGCAAACTTCTGGTTCACCCTTCTATACAGGTAGACTAGAGGGTCGAGCTTTTGAAGGATGCAACAGGGGTAGTTCCCTTACGACGAGGATAGGTCAAACACAGGTACCATCCAGCTCTTGGCACGTTGCACCAGTCTGTCAGGTGTCCAATGCTTGCAGGTGAGCTGTGATGTGTAGGACATCAGCCAATATGCGAGGGTCTCTTCAGCATTGAAGGTATGGTTCCTATTGGTAGGGCCCCCCCAAAGAGGGGACCTCTAGAAATGGTCCCAAAAAGGAACCCTAAAGGACCCTTGACAGCCAGAGGAATTGTAAGGCTTTTTTAAGACAACAGTTGTCTCGGGCACGGGGTTGTTCTTGGTCTACTCCAGGCGAGGAGGACCGCGAAAGCGAGACTTCGACTTGTACCAGGAACCCGTAGCTTCAATGCGATGACTGGATGAGTGCGCGCCGGATGGGTTTCGGGTATGTTGATTTAAGGAGTTGTTAGGGGTGGCTCAGGGGTTGAGGGTGGCTTTAGGGATTGGTTGAGGGTTGGTATAGGTTGCATTGAGGGGATTGAATGGATGTTTAGGGTGGTATTAGGTTGATATAGGGGTTGGCTTAGGCTTGGTTTATGGTGGGTTGAGGGTCGGTTTTGGCATTGATGACGTGTAGGGTGGCACCCAGATGGATTTAGGGTGGGTTTAGGGTTGGTTCGGGGTGGGTGCGTTTACCTTAGGGTTAGGGTTGAGGCCACGGCAAACCAAGCCGCGGAAAAGTTGCCCTTAAGGCAGCAAAAGCCGCGAGAGTCAGGATCCCTCCTTTTCCGAATGGACGGCTCGTCTTTTTGTTGGACCACCCAAATGGCTTTCTTAAGTTGGCTTTCCTTGAAAATGGAACCCTCAGAAAAGACAAGCCCACATGGTCAGACTGTGACTGTTCAACCCGAGCAAGCAAGGTTCCCCGCCAGAATCGTTAACATCCCGAAACGCCTCAACAGGTGTTGCAAAGGGAGAAGTAGGTACGTGTTTCCCCGAGTTTCTTGGTGCGGACATGCTGCGATCGGGAACTTGCAAATTGATTTTTCGCTTCGAGCGAGCTGCACACGTCAGGAGAAGCAGTAAAGAGAGCTTGACATCTCTTGGAAGCTGGCAAGAGTTTCGGCAGCAGGGTAAACTCCGTGAGTCGAATCGATTGCCAGAGCCATTTCCCTTTTTTGGAACCTGCAAAAGTTTGGAACCGCCAAACGTGTTGCAGCTTCAATGGAAACCAACAGTAGATTGCAGCTTTTGAAGGGGAAATCCAGCGACCCCTGTATTCTACATGGACAAAGCCCAATTTGTTCGATACAAGCATCCCTGTTGGGAGGCTTCATGCAACATCGTAGCAGGTGAAGAACGAGGAGTGCTGTAGGGAATCAAAAAGAAAGCCTCCTATTTCATTGATCCAAGTTTGGAAACGCCCACAGAACCTTCAAATCCAAGCTGTTCAGCTGAGGGAACCGTGGGACGACTTTGGGATCCCGATTTCCAGCCACTCAACCCAGAAGATTGGCGGACCCCCCAAATTGTTCAACAGTGTTCCTCTTGGTGCCCCTGTCAAAGCACCCCAAAAAGAGCATCCTCAAAGGTGGAACAAAATGAAGGATCAGCCCCAGAGTCAAGTTTAGCACGGCTCTGGATGAGTCCGTTGACATACGATTGCTGTTCAGCAAGTGAGGGCTTGATGCTTAGTAACTTAAGGAGGAACCAAGCCTGCGTTGAAGCCGCAAAACGTGAATCTTGAGTACCACATGTTGAAGACATTGCTTCGAGAAGACGGTTTGGACGTGGCTCTTGTGGATTCACCGTGTAGGATATTAGTAGAGTACCAACAGATTACTGAGAAAGGACCAATAGGGGAAAGAGCAGGTCATGCGAATTCCGCAAAAAAACGCGCGGCCAAACCGTCTTCTAGAGTGGTGGACCAAGGGAAGGGCGCTCGCACCGTGCTTCAGGTAAAGCGTGGTTGCCTGTGGGTGCATCCTATGATAGGGAATCGCGGGGGGTGATGGCTTTTAAGGGAAGCCTTTGAAACCACACCAAGCCGTGTTAGTATTCCAGGGCAACCCTGTAGGCTTCTTGCTGTGTTGACAAGCACGAAACAAGCAGGCTGCCAAGTTTGTCGCTTGCTTCCAAGGGATCAAAATTGACGGGGTGCTTTCCTCCAAGGACGGCACTGACGTCTATGACTACGCGTTGGATGAATCTCCTATTGGTGCAGGCGCCCCAAACTGGCGTGGTCATACCAAAGTTGGGTGCAGCTGCCGCAAGGTCAACTTTCCATTGGGCAGTTTGATTGGAGAAGCTTTGCGTACCCCGGTTTGACCATGGATCAGGAGTTTAGCATTTTAAGTTTTGGCATGAGGACACCGATTTGCACTTTTGCAAGCCAGTTCCTGCGACATGGAGCTGATACTGCATCTGTTTGAGCATCGTTTCTGTGTCTGCCGAAACACCAAGGCAAGCCTTTCTGAGCAGCTTGCATATGTCCCACGGGCGCATCTAGGGAGTTCATTTTGACGAATCCAAAGTTATTCTTGGGTAATTGTGTGCTACCACTTTAATTGTGGCTGGCTGGCCCACGAAACTTCCATGGATCTACTCTTTTGCCTTCTCAGGGAATCAAGAGGTGTGTTTTGAATGAGTCCGGGGATCTTCGACTCTTGGCTCTTTCGGCAGGTAGCCTCGCAGTGTTCGCGCTTGGAATCAGCGACGCACATGTGAACGATACCATTGCAGCGGCTTAGCCGCATTCGGACCTCAAGAACCTGCGTTGGCTTGGTTTCTTTGTTCCTGTGCTCATTTTCGGCGGGGGAGGGAAGCTTGGGGTTGGGGGGCTGCTTCCTGTTTTCCTTTTTTGGTTTGGGCGGAAGGTGGGGGGGTCCCTGTGAAATCAACTACCAACAGGGGGGGCCGCTTGTTTTTTCTCCGGGCACTGGAGGCCTGGCGAACCGCGCATCTGGCTGTATCCTGGTGTTGATTGTTTGGCCAACCTTCGATGTGATTTGCTTAGCTTGCAGATTTCACGCTTGGCAAAGCTGATTGAGTTGGTGTGTTCTGAGTTGCGGTTGGCATGGCCCGACTTGATTTGTCGTACCAGCTTTGAGCAGATTGACATCACTTTGTGCCTGCAGGGTTGAGTCGATGGTGTTTTTTTGATTTATTAGGGTGGGCTGTTTGGCCCGGCTTGGGATCTGGTGTGGGTGATTTTGGTTTCTTGAGTTTGATTGATGTTATGTTGCTTTGCATAGTTGTGCTTGCAAGTGCTTGGACGGTGACAGCTCTTGCCTCCTGTGGCAGATTTACTGCGAACAAGTTTCGCCGATCATCAACAGCAGGTGTCTCATGTCGGGGCATTGTGGATACTGCGTGACCGTTGCAAAGCTAGCTGGGGCGGAGCTGGTAGAACCGTGAGACTCCATAATATGGAGCTGTGGGTCAAAAATTTGTACCCCAAATGGAACCCTGGTAAATGGAAACATGGACCAAAACCTGCGGTGTCCTGGTGGTTTAATTTTGACTCACACCCATGTCGGTTTTCTTGTCCAAGACATGGATGCCTCAGGCGGTCCACATGACACCAGAGTCTCAAAACGGCTCCCCTTGTTTTTGTCAACTTACCTCCCGCATTTTGTTTTTAGCATGGAGGCCACTCAGAAATTAACACCCGAAAGAAACATTACTCTACAAATGGTTTGGGGGATTCTATGCGTTTTTCCTTTTGGTTTTGCAGATGGTTTGGGCGGGGATTCTATGAGTTGTTGGTTGTTTTGCGGGAGTACCCATCCGCAACTGGCTATCCGCGCAGCCCAGCTCGAAACGCCTGAGGTCTTGAAAGACGAGTCCGGGCTCTTTGGCAGCGCAAACCGATTCGTTTGGTGGCTCTTTCTGGTTTCATTGGGGTTCTGAGCCTTTCTGAGCCTTTAGGATCATAGAACCAAAATCAATGGGTGTTGGGAGCTGATGTTGGCGGTTTTCTCAAAGCCATTGGGTTGAAGGAATCCAAGAGGAAGATCCAACTTGCCTGGAGGGGTGCCCAATTTGGAGAAAGATCCGTGTGTTTCGTTGTTTGGTTCCTTATCATGGTTGTTGTTGGGACACATTTTGCATTCTTGCTTATTGTGGCTTTAGTGCTTGAAACCCAAATCCACTTATCTGCCATGGTTTGGTTTATGTTCTATTTTCTTGCTCCCCAAGCCCAAGGTCAACCAAGTTATGTTAAACCCCGACTTAAGGATCCAGAGGGAGAGTTGCACTCACTCGCGGCTGGGGGTTTCATCTGAGGCCCTCAGTCCAGGCCACTTGGCATTAGCGGGGGCAAAGTCGAAGCACGTTGGTCTAAGGGTTGGCAGTTTTCAGTAAGACCC